GGGGGGGGGGAGAGGACAGGAGCGGAGTCGAGCACATAAGTTTCGCACGTGTAAAAAGAATGAAAATGGCTATGTGTAATGGGAAAAAGCGTGCATCCAAATGTGGCGAACAGGAAGGAGACTGGACATACATGACAGAGTAAAAACCGAATCATTCGCAGCCAGTATGACAGACGAATGCGAGCGAAAGCAAGCAAACAAACGAACAAACAGGGTGATCACTTGCTTACTTCATATCAGTGTGAACAGTTGTGCACAGATTGGCCAAAAGTATGAAGCCAGCCTCCTGATTGGCCGGCACGCCCAATCCATCGCAAATCAACTTTCCCAAACCGTGTAGGAAATCGGCATCCGAGGCCAATTCGGTCCATCCGATCGCTGAAACACAAATAACACAAGGGGGAAAGTATCAACAATCGAACAGAACAGTTGCTAGCTGATTGAACAAATTCTCTGCGTGGGACGGATCGAGAGAGCACCGAAAACCATTTTTCGGTTTCAGTCATTGGACAAATCGGTCCATTCAATTCAATTCAATTCAATTCGAAAACTGGCTTTAATCATCCCCGAGTATGGAATGCGAGAGGCGACATCATGATCGGTAATCTCATCGCGGCCATGAGTCGAGTCGGATACTCAAGATAACCGAGTATAAGCAACGGGGATTAAAAACAAACAAACACACACACACAAGGTTACCAAGTATACTGAGGAAGTTTTTTCAATCTGAGGCGTTTGGGACACGTACTAATAATAAAAATAAATGTTTTGACAACCTCTTTTGTTTATTGATTATAGAAATATATATACAATCAACTTTCAGGAAGGAGACCGTCGCCATACAAAGGCTAGCTGAGGAAATACAGACCATGGAACGATGGGAGGCGGTGGTTGTGGGGTTTTTAACTCAGGAACCTCAGGTGGTTATTTCGATGATCTTACGACTCGCCCACCGCCAACCCGAGACGTGAATGCTGAGAACCACTGTCCATTTTTCATCTCACTATGTCAGCTACTACCGGTGATAGGAATTGATCAATTGAATCAGCTGTTCAACGCTTCGTTGAGTAGCAATCTTTCCTATTCCGGGAAGTAAGTCAAGCTATCCAACTTTGGATAACCACCCAATCGTTCACATATCTCCTGTGATCATGCACTCAACACGTTGACCATCGACTGTGTGGTTTCGGAGTGAGAGTCTCAGCTAGTAATCAAAAGGTACATAATTCGAGTCCCGGATGGGACAGGAAAAGATGACAGCTTTTTTTTATTACACATATCCTACGTGATGAATAACAGACGGGGTGAAACTTATTGTTGCGAACACCTGCGTAGCACACAAGGGCCACCAGGATAGGCGTATTATTGAACCGGACAACAACAAAGCTGCCAACAACCAAGAGTGCCAAAAAGCAAAAAAGAACAGCTGACTCCGCGGTTTTTATAGGTTAAAACAATTATGCCGAGAACACAAAGCCAGACTATTCTTTCAAAACGAAGGCAAGCATTTAGAGACATGTGACCGGACTCACCAGACAGAGAGGCATTCGCTCCACTGAATTCGATTTAATCCCAACAACAATCTGAATAACTGGAGTCCCAGTCGGGAAGCCCCGATCCGAGCACAGATTCTTTAAATCTCTGCGTCACATCATATACTGCTCACCTCGCTATTTGTTCCACTGTGATACAATGTCGAAAAATAACGCACAGTAGGCTAAGCGTTACGCGGACATTCGTAAGGCGTTCCCCTGTCAACTGAAAAGATGTATTAAGATGGTTTTATTTAACGGGGGAACTACTACCTAACTGTCTGATCTCATCGTTACGCACGCGATGCTCGCGCCATATACGGGCAAAAGCAACCACCACCACCACC